ATAAAAAACGGATTCAACTTGTGAGGCGTTCATTTGGTTCATGCACCAATTACTCCCATCCATTTGTAAATAATTATTTGTCACTATTGCTATCCCCAACTTCTCCTCTCTGCTTCTGGAAGGGAGAGACCACATGAAGTAGGACAGCTTATGTAACAATACAGATGTTCTACCGATGAGGGCCTCACCCGGGTCAGATAAAACATCACCAGCAACTACCTATAATCTAGGAATGAGAAACATTTGTGCCAATGCCCTAGAATTTTCTTTTAAAGGCACACTACCTTCGCCTAAATGTTTGCTCATTACATGTCAGACTCCAAGGGAAGCAAAGCCTCCACTCTGTCCCGTACTGTTGCCACTAGTGGCTATCTACATTTGGATCAACTCGAAGTTCAGTTCCTGCGTCACACAAGCCACACTGAGGATGTAAGTCACTTGAGGGCCTCAATCAGGTAGCAGGCTGGAGATCGCAGCTTTGGAAACCGCTTCATCATCTCCGAAAGCCGTACAGGGCGGAGGGGCTCACACACATCTCTGTATACTAAATCTGAAAATGACAGTATCATGAAATCTGAAGAAGCATCTATGTCCTACCACAGCACATAAAGCGTATCCGTTGGTAACGGGAGCCATTTTTCTTCCCAAAGAAGGGAAAGTGGCAATGGCAGCAAGCTGCTCTCCCAGTAAGTATAAGAAAAACCAAAAAAAAAAAAAAAAACAGCAAAACTGGAAAACAAGTGAAAATCACTGTACGTCACTATCGTCTTCTCTAGTCCATTTACGAGAACATGTTAGTGACACTGTATTGTTGTTTTTCACAAGAGTGTGTGCTGTTCTTCTGACAGCTCACAGCAGAGGTGGCAAGGATGCTTCAGGATGAAAGGAAGGGAAGGAGGTGAAGCAAATACGAGAATTCAATGGCGCCCAATGCAAAAGAAGTTATTGTTAATATGTGCCACGGACACACTGACTTTTAAAAAATCATTCGGGGCGCACATGCAGACAGAATACCAAGAATACTGTATACATAATAAATAAATAAATCTTTAAAAAAAATGAAAAATCATTCGGTAACTTTGAAGAGATCCATGTTCTCATCCAGCACATGACAAAGGAGGAGCCCCGTCTGACAGAATGAGCCGAGGACGTGCACTCGCTGAACACATTACATTTTTTTTTTTTTAATGAAAGTTGGGGTCTGGAGATGGCTCAGCAGTTAGGAGCATGGGCTGCTTTCCAGAGGCCCCGAGTTCCATTTTCAGCACCAGTACTGTGGCTCGCAACTGTCTTTTACTATAGTCCCATGGGAACCGATGCCCTCTTCTGGTATGCAGATGTACATGCAGACGAAACACCCAAATACGTAAATAAATCAACCCACTTTTAAGAAAAGGTTCTTGAAAAGACCACGGGAACTTCCTGAAGGAGGTACCCAAGAAGCAAACAAGCCCTCTTAACAGAGCTACACAAGGACACCCTAAACCAGCGGTTCTCAACACTTTCACAGGGGTTGCCTAAGGGGACCATCAGAAAACACAAATATTTACATTATGATTCATAACAGTAGCAAAATTACGGTTATGAAGTAGCAACGAAAGTAATTTTATGATGGGGGGTGACCACACATGAGGAACTGCATTAAAGGGTTGAGAACCACTATGCCAGCGTGGTCGGACAATGCTGGGGGGAAAAGTGTCATTCATGGTGGTGGTACTGCATAGACAGAGAAGGAACACAACCAGAAACTACTTATCCCAAACCAGCTGGTTATGTCGCACTGGCCTGGGTGGGTCCTCAAGCTCGGCTCACCAAACTGCGAAGAATGCCAACATTCACCTTGATACCCTGATCTCTGATATACTTACCCACGTACACCATTTCGGTGACAATCTTTAGGACACGGGAGACAACGATGAAAAAGCAAACGAGTCACCAGATTATTAGAATCAGAATTACGTGTTTAGGGAGACATTTCGGTTTACTGGGCTGTTATCTGCTTAGATATCAACAAAGCATATTTTCCCAACACGTACTGGAACCCCCCCATCATCTCAATGTTCCCATCAAATTTACATAAACGAGGAACAAACAAACCAAGGAGACTTCGGTAAAAAAAAAAAAAAAAAAAAAAAAAAAAAAAAAAAAAGCAAGGCTCTATACCCCAGAAAGTGTGCGCTTCCTCCAAAAAATTTCATGGCAGAACTTCACAGACACTGTACCCCACAGGGGCAGTTCTGGTCACATCCAAACCATGACCACCATGGCATCCTTATTCATGACCATGCGTGGAACACAGATACATCTTCTAGACTCTTCTTCAGCTTACACATATGTTCAACAACAACAAACACGAAAACAATCGCAGGGATCCACCTGTTAACGTCTATTGCTAAGAGCTCCCCCCCCCTCCTTCCTCCACAGTGAACTGACTAGGTAGCATGAAGGCCTTAACGAATTTACCAAAAGGTTCTCCTCCCTTTCAAACAAGCGGACCTGTCATATAAAGGCTTCCACAGAAGAAATCCGCGTACACAAACTTGGGCCCTCGGTTCAGCCCGCACTGCTCTCAGGCTGTTCACAAAGGTCAAGCAGCCCCAAGTCATGGTTCCAAGTATGTGTTCTGGGATCTGCCCCCCTGGATACCAGTCAGGAGTCCTCACACCACCACCTCTGCCAGAACCTCCTGGGCTTCCACTTCCCCAAATGTAAAACTGTTACTCCTCCAGGTTACGGCCATGTTTGCGCAGTCATCCTGTCTGGCACATAGAGGCCCCATTTAGTGATAGATCGACATGTTAACTATTGGGGCTATTTTTCACTCTTGGGTGCGTAAATATGGATGATTCAACAACTATCTAGTCTATCAGGCTGGCTACCTATCAATTTCATTCCTACTGCGTCACAGCTCCTGGAGAAGGAGGAGGTGAAGAAAATGGCCCTCGCTCCTAACTCTATCCGGATTTCAGGTCCCTCGCTAGGAAGAGTGGGTACTGAGAATAATTTTAAAGGTTTCCGGTTGATTATACCGTGCAGCCTGGATGAAGAGCCAGATGGAGAGACTTCCGTGTCCAGTGATAACACAGCTGTGAGGTCCGTTCGACTCCCTCAGCTGATCCTCCAGCCCCGGGGACAGCTGACTGGCAGGGATGCTGTGACGACGAACCCAAATCCCGCTGCTCCGGGGAGAAATAACTGCGACCAGCCCGGCAAGAGCGTACCTCGGCGGAGTTCTCGGACAGGGCAGGGGGCTGCGACCCTTCCTGCGCCCTCCCCCGCGTCCGGGCCGCCAGCGCCCAGCCCCCTCGCGGCCGAGGCACGTGACTCGACACGCGCCAGCTGCACGCGGGCTCCATCAAAACAAAAACAGAGGAGGCGGGACGGGCGGGGGCGAGCGCGCGGGCGCGCGCGCTCGCCACCGCCGCCGCTCGTCCGCCACGACCGCGCGCCTCCGCCAGGCCGGGGGCGGGAGGGCAGAGGGCGCCACCCTGTTTACCGCCAGGCTCGGGTCCTGCGCCGGAAACGGTCTCCCGGGAGCGGGCGCGTGAGTGCGCACCCACCCGCGGCGGGGGCCTGCGTGGGCGGTGAGCGGCCTCGCGGCTGCGTGTCACCCCCGTCACGACTTCTGCTACGCACTTCGCCCCCAGCCTCCAGCTCGCGCGCTGCTGCGGACCCCTCTCACGTGGCCGCCTCCTCCCTCACACGCCGTTCCGAGCGGACCCAGGCGCTCCGGAGCCTGTCCCCACCCCGCCTCGGACGTCACCCTCCTCGGACCACCCAACCCACACCTTCCGCCCCGGGCGCGCGCGGGAGGGGGTAGATGGCTCCAAGCTGTCAGAAGCCTACAGGGTGCCACATGACGAAGCTCGCCCTCGTCCTCGCCACTCACGCAGCAGCCTTGCTGCGAGCTCAAACAGACATATTGGGGGGGGGGGGAGTCTTGATTTTTCTCTATTGATTTGAAACTCGTCCCCCCCCACACACACACACATAAGTATTAGACTCAGCTCTACCTACGCAGTTGCTTTGCCTCTCCACGGTCTCCTACCAAATCCAAGCGACTTATCAAATCCAAATGCCCACCCCACACACCTGCTAGATAACCTGTCTTCTGGAAACCCGAAGTCCCACCCATCCAGCCTGGGGGGGGGCCTATGCTGGGGGGGGACAGAGGTGGTGGCGACACGATCATGGGTAGTCACAGGAAGGGGGGGATATGCACCCCTTGCCTCCCTACTCATCTCCAGAGCAAAAGAACGTATCCTGCTTCCCTCCGCCAAAATAATAGCCCAAGTCAAAGCGCCGCTTTCCTAGGGGCTGCCTCTTCCCCCCTGAGAACCAAGACGTCGCATCCCTCCCAATCGCACGCCCCCGGCCCTTACTTCTTGTTGACAGCAGAGGTGGGGGGCGTGGGAGCCATGCGTGAGTTGCCTCCAGGTTCGGGATGTTGGTCTCCGCTGAGTGAAGAGGTGGAATCTCGAAATGGAAACAGTCCTCCCCCCCCCTCGCCGGTCCCTCCCCTCCTCCTCCTCCTCGTCTGTTTACCTCAAGTTTGAATTTTATCTGCGCAACATTAGCTGGAATGCGGACATTGAAAAAAAAAAAAAAAAAACACTCGCTCTCAACCCGGCAGCAGCTCCGGAGGAGCCATGTGGCATCAAGCCACCGCAAAGGGGAAAAAAGTGCTCTTAGCAACACAAACATGGCGAAATAGCTCCGACATGCCCGTCTCACGCAGCAACCCTACCTTCCTTCTCTGGCCCGCCGAGCCTCCCGATCGGCAGCCGCAAGCCCTTTGCGGGGGGCGTCAAGGGGCCCCGGGGGAGTGCGAGGGTGGACGTCAGCAGAGTCCACCGGGAAAATAGCTCGGATGACGCGCCAACCCATCTGCCTCACGGGGAGTGCGGGGACACCTTTTTCACCCCCAGGGTTGGAGTTGAGCACCAAATACCCGTCCCCAAGTCCTACTGGGCCCGTTTTCCCCACCCTACAGAACTTACCGGTGGTCTGAACATTACGCAGCTCTGCTTTCCTTTCTGGCTCCTTCCTCCGGAGCGAGGAGGAAAATGATGCGCACGTAGATTCCGAGAGCGTATTCTTCTAGAATTTTCCCAGGATGGTCGCGGGGAGCGATGGGGACTCAGAGACAGGTGCGGGGCTACCGGTTAAAAGTTGCTCTGCGCACGGTGGACAACAGGGTCCCCGGGGCGGGCCGAGGACCCCCACTCCCTGCCCCCGGCGTCGCCCACTTGTCACGCCAGGCTGCTGCGTGCGCTCGGCTGCAGGGGAGGTGGCGTAGTTTCTTTTTCTCCCACCTCTTCTCACTCACTTGTTTTTGTAGCCGTGGGCTCCCCTAATGCTTTCCTCTCCACAATGTTGTTTCATTATATCATGTCCATCATGTGACACCGGAGAGGCCTCTCTATGGAAACTTAAAGGGGCTCCCACGTGACTGCAGCAGCAACAACAGCAGCAGGACCGGCGGCGGCGGCAGCGGCCGCAACGTTTGTACCACCACCCACCAGGAGCCCCTCGCAGCATCCCGAAGGGGCTTGTGGCGCTGCAGAAGCCCAGATAAGGGAGCCACTGCATCCGGGAGCTGTGGCGTCGGTGCGTGCGTGGAGCCCGTGCTCATTACACAGCAAACGAACAGGAGCGTCCTTAAATCCTTTCCTGCAGTCACCAAACCCACGCTCTGTTAAATGACATTTCGTGGTTCCTACTTTATTTTCTCCCGAAAGCTGTGAGTTTCCTCTCAGGCCTGATTAAATTTTACAAAGTCAAAAAGAAAAACCAGATATGCCCCCTCAGTGAGCTCACTCGCAGATCGCTGGTAGAACAGGAATGCCCAAAGAATAACAACAAATAGAACCAGGCATTTGTTCCATAATTCCCATCACCACCAGTTTCAGAGCTTTCTGGAATTACATTCCTCCGGTAACTGTTGATGATGCTCTCAAGAGGCAAAATGCAACGCAGTTTTTTCTCTTCCGCAGCTATATTAGGGCTTCGTTGCTGACAACAGTAAAAACTTGTTTGTGTCAGGAAGTGAGGTATGAAGCTATGACCTGTAAGGTACAGACAAAACCAAAGTGGCAGTTTGGGTACTTCTTTTCTGACCACGTTCTTTCAAGTGGTGACAAGATGACGGCTATAAAATGCGTGTTTGGTTGGAAATAAGATGATCAGGAAAACATGCTTATCCCTTAATCATACTGTACATGTTACACACTAGAAATTATGTATACATATATGCATGTGTGTGGATAGGAAGCAAGCATGTGCATTTTCATGTATTAGAAACCACTAATTCTGTCCCCACTGCTAGCATTTAACTTCAACATTCGCCATTAAAGGCTTATTCGAGTCCAATGATGTATGGGAAGTAACAGTTTGAAGTACTTAGTCTTACTGACTTGCAGTCTCGGGAGGGGGATTCTACTTTGAATTGCAATTCTCTGTCTCAAACTTTTTATGGATAATGGAAATATTATCCTATAAATCTAAAATAAACGGCTATTTCTCTGTTGGCCCATGTTCTTTCCCATTTCTTGTAAGGAAAACTAGATGGGCGAAATTGTGGAAAAGAAAAAAGCAACAACAACTCAGTAACCTGAAGAGTGAGATGGGTGATGGCCTCCCGGCCTGGCCTTGGGTGTACGTCTTCCTACCTCATCAGTTATGATAAACGATTGCACTTACATCCTTTCGAATTCTATTAACCTCCATCCTTTTGGCCTTCCAACCTCACGTTTCATCCTTTACCCATATTTCCCCTGACTCTCCCAATTCCGGCCCTTTACTTAACGTGCCCAGGTCAGGCCTTCCCAAATTCTTAAACCCCCCCCCCGCCCCCGCCCCCACCAGCAGCAGCTGGTTCTCTTCTCAGCAACTCTACCTCCTTACCTCTCTTTGACCTCCTTTAATCTCCACAGCCTGGCCCTTGACTTCACGGACTTGGCTTACCTTTCTTCACCTGAAATGTCCTGCCCTTTCTTGGGGTCTGCTTTTACCCACGCCTCTCTGGCCCCATCCCTTCTGCGGGCAAGCCCCAGCATTCCTCCACGGCTCGGCCTGGTCATCTTGAATCTCATTTTGTTGGCTTGCCCTGGGCAAGAAGGGAGTGTGTGGTGCAAAGTGGGGCCAAGACTACCCCCGGACAAGACCCCTGCCTTGCCCCCTCCGCCCCTCCCGAGCCCTGGTTGCGGCGCTTCCTGGGCGGATGGTTTGGACTTGCTGCGGCAGCTGCGGTTGTGCTGTGTCATGCAAGAAGGAGGCGGCGGCGGCGGCGGCCGGAGCTGGAGGGGGAGGAGGGGAGGAACCTGATCCTCGGTAGCAAAGGGCTGGAGGCAAACACCGAGCTCCCCCTGAGCCGCCCGGGAGCGGGGAGGGCTCTGCTACCCCGAGGGGCCCTCCCTGCGGGGCAGAGGGTAAGTTGGGCGGCGCAGGTGGTCGCCTTGGGAAGGGGGCGCGCAGGGGGTTAGGTGGGATGGCGGTAGCACTAGGAGCCATCGGGCCCCAAGAGTCAAATGCCCAGCTAACAGAGACCCAGGACATAGAAAAGATGGCCAGCCAGTAGCAGTAAGAGTAATTATTTGACTAATGCCCGACAGTCGCCCCAGGTCACACGGTGGGTGGAGTTGTAGATCCCGAACTCAGGACTCAGCTAGAGGCAATGATTCAGGGTTGCATGAACTTCATCCCAGCAGCCCTGGCGCTGCAGGACACCCTTGAATAGCAAAAGGCCAACACACCCCAGGTTCCTCTAGCCTTTCTGGACTTTCTGGGTTGTCTTCTTCAAATCTAGGGGAAAGGGTGGGAAAATGGTCCAGCCTCACTGAACACACGGGGGGGAAAAACGCTCTTGGCCAGAGCCTTGGACAAGCAGCCTCTGGTGCAATTAAACAATCAATAGGAAAAAGCTTCATTCCGTCCCTCCCCCTCCCCCAACCCCAAGCACCTTCGACCAAGGTAATTCATAGGGCTTAAAGGAGAAAGAAAATGTGGTATATTTTGCCCTGCCCAAGCCATCAGTCAGCCTGCCACTACACAAACGGCCACCTGTTCCAGGGTTCACCCTCCCTTCAGAGGGATGCTTCTGAGAGACAAAACAATACTGCCCCAAGTTCCAAGAGGAGACCACCTTAAACTCCCGACAATTTCAGCTCCATTGCCCTTTTCCCCCAGGGGAATCAGAAACCTAGACTTGAGAGCAGTGAACTGTAGAGACAGGGTGGGCACCTAGGAACGTTTCTCTTTTCACCTGCCTACAATTTTCAGGACAGTTATTATTATTTCATCATCATTATTAATGATCATTATTATTCCTTTCCATGTCCCTTCTGGAAGTCTCTAGAAGCACTTTCTGCAACATTTTCATGTCAGCCATCCATTTCGAAGGAAGGGGTTGAGGGGATTAACGGAAAGGCTAATGACTGTCTCAAAAGCTCATCCGGTTGCTAGGGAACTCAAGCTCGCCCCGCTCGCTAATCACCAGTGTGGTACAGGAAAATCAAACTGCTCAGGGTGTTATTAAAATGAATGGCATTTGGTTAAAGGCTTCTTTGCTTATGTTGTAGCATCCTGGTCTATTATCGATTGCCTCACACCCACATATCTTGTTTTCCTAATTTGATTTCTGTATTTGCGTCACTGCCAGGGACACTCAGACTAGACCAGTCAGGTTCACTTCCTGTTTCTCAGAACTGGTTTATATTTGGTCTCGCTGCACTAGCTGGTAAGACATTATCACGCTGATCCTCTTGGAAAAGAATTTCTGCTTTCCGTTGAAAACAAATTATCCCAATTAAATGCTAATTCTCATGGAAAACGTCATCGTAGGAGGCTTAAGGCCCTGCCAGGCTACTTTATTAGTGATTTGAGAAAGCCATTCTTGACATGTAAAGCAAAGAAAAATCCATTCCCCACTCCTCACCCCCCCCAAAAAAAATCTTCATTCCTCAGCTTTGGAACTAAAGCTCAAGAAGAGAAAATATTTAAGTGTGATATTTCCAAAATGAAGCATTGAAAAGTACACATTGAAGCTGAAGGAATCATTTCAACTAAATAAGGCATAGAATTGAATGCAGTCCAGGCCCAGGAAGGACAAACAAGTATGGGTTGACACTGTGGCCCCAAGTGTGATGGCAGGGCGGCTTTACATACCAGAAACCCTTTCACCTTGTGAACTAAATGTCTCTCTCACTGATTCCCCTATGTCCCTGATAAGGCAAGCCTTGCTTTTTATATTTTTGCTTCCAGTTCCTTCCTCTTTATAACAAGACTACCGCCAAGGCAATAGCAGAGAGATAAGACTGTAAATAGGTGGGTTCTGATGGAAATAATTTGTTGGATGAAAAATAGAGCACACGCGGCTTTGAAGAAAGATGGGTCTCCACGTCTGTGTACTGGATGGGCCTAGGCAGCCATTGTGGGTCTTTGCATGCTGCTGGTGGTTTTATGGAAGCTTACTAAAAGATCTTGATGCTTCCTTGCATTTAATTCCAATTTCTAGCTGTTAGATTTTTTTTTTTTTTTTTTTTTTTTTTTTTTTTTTTTTGTCTGCATCCACCCGTTAGCCCCTAGCTGTAGAGACTGGGGTGAGTTCATGGGAAAGGTGACTTGGTGGTGGTACAGGGAGTTTTGATGTGACTTGCCACATGCAGAAGATTGCCTGGTTTCCTTCTGCGTTTCGTCTCTCTTTGTCTTGTTGTGGTAGAGAAGCAACAGGCCAAAAAGTGCAACTGTTTCTGAGACGAGGCATAGGCCTTCCAGTTGTTCCAGATGCGGTCAACCCAAATGCCTCAATGAGCCAGGGGTGGAATGATGGAGGAAGGGCTATCCAAAACCAGTTATCAGTTGGATTCTGATGGAGCCAAACATCTGTTTGCCTGTATTTTAATTAGCAACAGATATAAACATACCCTGTTGTAATTTCGAATCCCTCAGACTCAAGATAGTAAAAAAAAAAAATAGTGTGAAGAAATGTGAGATTTGTGCTGGAAAGAGAAGTCCTGACTTTGAAACTCAACTCTGCTGCTCAATCCATTATTGAGTGCTTGCTGTGGCCCTAGAAATACAAAGCTAAGCACAGTCCGTGGCCTGCAGGATCCTATGGTACAAAGAGGAGACGAAGGAAGACACAGTTGGTCACATAATAATGAGATGCTGTCTACAGGAAAGCTCACAGGAGGGTGCTGAGCTACAGGAGTGGTGAGGAAAATGAAGGCAGGCCAATTCCAGACCAAAAGGCACACCCAAAGAGCTGAGCCAAGAGGATGGTGCCCCCCAAGTAGAAGATGCTTCGCAGATGTTTACACTGCCCAAGTGCATGGCAGAAGTCCTGAAAAATGATGGGGTTCCCTGTAGCGTGAGAGGCTTGATCTTCCAAGTTTGGACTTACTCTAAGGCCAATGGAAAACTGTTGATTATTTTTCAATATTTATTTATTTAATGTGTCTTTGCATGCATACCACATGCATATAGGAGCCATAGGAGGTCAGGAGAGGATGTCAGATATCCATGGAACTGGAGTAACAGGCAGTTGTGAGCCACCATGTGGGTACTGGGAACCAAACCTGGGTCTTCTGCAAGAGCAGTAAGTGCTCTTAACTGCTGAACCCACTCCTCGACCTATCAAATTGCTTAATGGCCACTTTTAAAAGATCACTGCTGTTTGGAGATCTGTCAGTGATGCTGTAAGCCAGGAGATTAATCGGAAGGAAGTTCAGCATCCTAAGGAAAAAAAAGGGGGGCAGGGACAGGAACTCTTAAATTAAGACAGCAAGAAGGGGACTCTAGAAAAAGAAAGGGTTCAATACCAAGACAAGCGAGTATGGTTATTGATTTTATCCACATGGTTGAGACATAGTGGGAGAACTATGGCTTAGGTAAACAGGATGATAGCGGTATCAGTCACCAAGACAGGGGCCTTGGGAAGAAAAGCAGGTCACAGCAAGAAGGAATTAGTTTAATTTTAAGCCTACTGAGTTTGAAGTATCCATAGGATATCAAAGTGAGCTGTGTACTACTTGCCAGAGGAAGCCAAAACTCTAGAGGCATCTGTGTCAGAGTCATTAGAATAATTGGGAGTTCATGGTTACAAATGAAATCCCCAAACGAGAAGGGGGCCTGGCTTCAGCACCATGGAAATGCCACTTAAAAAGGTGAGGAAGGGAGGGTACTAGGGAGCTAACTGGAGAGGTGGAAGGAGAAGGCACAATAAGCTTTAGATGCTTTGTGAGGACAGAAAATAGCATTAAACACCGGAGAGTTTAAGATAAATGAAGGCTGAAAAGCCATTGGATTTAGCAACAAAGGTCATCTGTCTATTTGGCCAAAAGTACATTGGTAAAGGGGACAGAGAACAGAGGTAGGAGCTGGAGGAAGCTCTCGGGTTGGAAGGACTCAAGGGCACGTCAAGAACAAAGGTACTAGGAAGAGAGTGAACTCATGGTCTGTAAAGCTATGGGTGGACGTTGGAAAAGGAGAAACGGACATGAGAGAACTCTGGGTGCTCCTGGGCATCTTCCGGTTGGCGAGCATCACAGTCCGCCAGTTCCCTGAGCTGAAAGCATGTGTAGACCTTCTTGGTTCTTCTGTTTCTCCAATTTGCACGTCCAATTTATGAGGACTTGAACTTCTGCCTCTAAAACATTTCCCAAACTTAATCTTCCTACCTCCTTTGCTACCATCTTAGTCCAAATCAGCATCCTCTCTCTATTCTCATAATATGGCCTTTTTAAAAAAAAAAAAAAAAAGGAGGAAGGAAAAAAGTTAAAGACAAGAGTCTCACTAACTATGTAGCCTGAGCTGGCCTCAAAGTAGCTATCCTCCTGCCTCAGACTCTTAAGTGTTGTGATTACAAGTGTGTGCCACCCTTCAAGGCTGTAATGAGTGATTGTTCTTGTTCTCTCCAGCACAGTTAGACCCCTGATTCAAGCCAGGTGTCATAAGATATAAACCATAGCTTACCATGTGGCTTCTCCTTTTAGAATCCTTCCATGTCGTCTGCTTGTACTTGGAATGCAGGCTAGACTCCTTCCCTGGCCTTCCATGCCTTGTGTGGAGATCAGCTCTCCGGCTCGTTCTCCAGTCATTCTCGGGTTCCAGCCTCACTATGCCTCAAGTATTTTCTTTTCAGGGATATTTTTTCATCCTTCTGGCTTTTCTTAGAATATCACCTCCTCCAAGAGCCCTTTCTCCACCTGAAGTGTCCTTTTCTATCCCCTTTCTAACCTCCCTGGGCATCTTTTCACAGTAACATAATTTAATTACCAAAGCCACATTACCGTTCCCTTTATTGCATATAGTTGAGGGCTTCTAAAATGTAAATCCAGTGAAGATTCTTGCACATAGTTGGAGCTTAACACTGACCATTGGGTGTTTTAGGAAAGAAGGGAGTGATCTAATTGGTAGAAATTAGAAACATGAAGAACCACCTTCTAGAAGCAGGTATAGTGGCACAAACCTGTTACTCTGTTACTATACTATATATAGTTACTGTATATATATATATATGTTACAATATTATACCTGTTACTATACTATATATAGTTACTATATATATTATAAATTATATATATATATGTTACTATACTATATCTGTTACTGTTTCTGATACTACAGTTCAGAAAGTTGAAGCAGGAGGATTGTGAGTTCAAGGCCAATCTGGGCTGTATAGTGAGACTCTTATCTCAAAAAGTGGGGGGGGGGGATTGGCATCTGGTGTGTTGAAAAAAAGACAGAATGGCGGTTGATGATGGAGCATTAGGCTTTTAGGGTTTCAGCAGAAGAAGAGTTCCTAGCTGTGTTACCCAGGTCATTGGCATTCTCTGAAGCTCACTCTATAGTTAATAAGTATTCTGTGTTTCATTGGGCTTTTAGGGAAATGAATGCGATGGTTTAGGTAGAGGATGAAGTGATCTTGTCAAGTTGTTTCAGGCAGTCAGGAATTCTGAGGGTCAATTCATAACCTCCAAATGTGAGGTCCCCTGTCATATAACTCTTGGTACTTATTATTAGAGTAAAAATTTGAGAGGCCTTTGAGACAGCTCAATGATTAAAGTCCTTTGCTTCCAAACCTTATGACCTAAGTTTGATCCCTGGTACCCACACAGCAGGAGAGAACCAACTAACTCTTCTAAGTCGTCCCCTGACCTCCATACACATGCCATAGGACAAGCATGGTCCCCTCCCCATGAACATACAGATTAAACCTAGTAAAAGCATGACAAGATTGTGACTTAAAAAATAGTCTACAGCAATACAGCCCTGAGCACTCCCAGCTTTTGAATGGTAATAAAAACACTAGGATTTCTGACTGAACCTAGAACTTAGAATTATTTCAGATGAAATCAACAACCAACCCAAAATTCTGAAAAGTTGGGCAAAGTATATAGCACACAGATTGAAACCAAAGAAATACAAAAGAGAGTTAAAATGTGTTAAAATACTTACTTGCTTTCTCAACACAGAAGCATGCCCATTGCAAAGGCAATGAGATAAATTTTCAAGTATCTGGTTGTCTAGGCAGATAGGGGAAGCAGACCTGTTCTTAGTAAGTGGATGAGGAAGTTGCTGTGACCTCTGTAGAGGGCATCCTGGCGGTGTTGATCACTTTTCAAACATGCAAAGCCTTTTGACCTCACAAGCCTACTTTTAGGTCTCTACCCAATAGATAGATTCACATATGGACTGAAGGATGACTCTTCCAGGACCTTCACCAAAGCATTATTTATAGTCATTAAAGACTGAAAAGCCACCAAATAGAGAAGTGGGTAAATACAGAACAGTGTGTAGACGGAAGGAAAGGTAGACAGCCGTGGGACACTTCCAGACACATCAATAGGAACCAAGCTTTACCATGCATTAGTACATATTTTATGAAGAACAACATGTATATTTTGCTGCCTTTTTTTTCCCCTGTGAAGTGAGATCTACATTTTTCCAGTCTGGAACACATTTATCAAGAGGAAGATGAAGGTAAACAGGCCAAGAACATATGTGGGGCTGTATTGCTGTAGACTATTCTGAAGGATATCTCAGAGATGGGCGAGGAAATATGGCTGCCAAGCGAAGAGGGTAGCATGAATGGGGCCAGAAATACCCAAAGCCCCCAGAGCTATGTTACATAATTTAGTGATAGACAGGACATGGGGAGTAACACAAAAGGAGACACTGCCACTGTCACAGTGGACTTGAGAATTCTTCCAAGATCAGATGTGTGGGCAGAGGCATCACTGGCTGAAATGAGGACTCCTACAACAGCCACAAGGTTGAGATGACTAGAAGTTAGAAGGTGCCTCAGTGAAGACCTGGAGATGGGAGTCTGAAGCTCAGAAGTGCTACAGGAACTAGATTTATGAATTCAGGAGATCGCCTAGGGTGGGCAAAAGCAAGATAAAACAAAAATGCATTTAATGGAGAGATTGAATAAAAAAGGAAATTGACAATGGAGACAATCAGAACCCAGAGAAGTAGAACAAAGAGGCCATAGGGCCAAAGGTACCAAAAGGACACTGTGTCATGGATTAACTCTCAGGACCACCAAAGGTCTAGAAAGGTTAGCATAGATTAGTAGTCTTCCTCCTGATCCCTAAGGTCTTCAAGAAGTTAGGATTTTTATACATTTTTGTATGCCGAGTACCTTACATATGATAAACAGCTAGTAAACTTCTGTTAAGTGGGAGAAAGACAGGGATACCCAGACAGACAGACACAGACTGTCAAATTTATGTTTGGATCTCAGAAGATAAATCAGGCAGAGGATGGAGCTCAGGAGTAGAATTTACCTACCATGTAGAAAGCCCTGACTTTGCCTCTCAGCACCACAAAATAAATTAGTAAGTAAATAAACAAATAAGATTCAGTTGAGGTTCACCTCAAGGAATTGTAGGGAACAGATAATCCTGTGCACTTCGTTTTACTTGCAACCTAATGGGCAGATTAATTACTTGTGGGACCATACGCCTTTATATTAAGTGTCCTCTCAGAACACTGATAAGTCACTCCTGTGTCCAGGACACCTAAGTTGCTTTTGTATTTCTTTAGGTCCTAGACAATAAAAAGAACAGTTTGTTTTATTCCATCCATAATCAGTGGATCTAATTTGGCAAATCCATTATGGGGTCGCTACAGTTCCAGACAGCACCGTAGGCGCCCTTAGATGCGCAGTATCGGTTTCCTATCAAAGAGAAAGAGGACCCTAGGCAGGAAGACTGTCATCCTCCTAGACATACCACAGGCATCTCGGTCTGCCACCATTTCATGTGCCTGCTACCAGAAAAAGACTGTAGAGAAATCAACAGAGAAGAGGGGCGGCTTCACTCTGAAAATGTGGGACTTGTTGACGGAAGAATGTTCTTGGCACAGGGGTGTACTCAGTTGGAAGAGTATTTGTTTAGCTTGCACGAAGCACTGGGTTCAAACCTTAACATCACACAAAACCAGAACAAACTGGAGCAGAGCACCTACTGTAATACCAGCTCTTGAGATACGGAGACAGTACAGTCAGATGTTCAGGGAGCTCTCGGTCAACTGAGGCTATGTGAGAAGCTGTCTGGGGGGAGGAGAGAGAGAGAGAGAGAGAGAGAGAGAGAGAGAGATTGATTGATTGATTGATTGAGGGGGTTCCTCTTTCTTCTCAATGCCAAGCCTAAAAACCTGATTTTGGATCACTGCCTACACTGGCACTTCACAGCCACCTATAACTTCATCACCAGGGTGTCTGGCACCCTCTTCTAGCCTATAAGAGCACCTGTACACATTAATAAAAATGAAACAAATCTTTAAAAAAGACAAAACGTTAGAAACTAAAATAATAGAAGTAACTTCAATGTTAAAAGGCTTGTGGCATCCTAACGTTACTGTGATGGGTGATTAGCAAACTTTCTCTACAAAGGATGAGATAGAAAATATTTCAGGCTTCTCTTTCTCCGTTCCAAATACTTAATGCTGTCATTGCAGTGAGAAAGCAGCTGTCACAGACGCATGACTGAAGCTGAGTTCGGCGTGCACGCCTGCAGTCCCAGCACTCGACATTCCGGAGGTGAGTAAGGCAGAACGTCTCAAGATCAGGACCGACCTAGGTCATATGGCAGGATGGCCGAAGAAGGAAAGACTGAAGAGAGAGAGGGAGGGAAGGAGGGAGGGAGGGAGGGGCTGTTGAATAAGCATGGCGATGTTTCAGTGAAGCTATTTATGGGTGACAAAATTTGGATTTCATACAGTTTTCCCATGTCATGAGGTTCCAGTCCTCTTTTAATATTTTTCCAACCATTTTTTTAAAAATATGAAAACAATTCTCCATTTATGGGCCACACAGAAACAGGGTGTGGGCTGCATATGGGCGGCATGGGGAGTAGTTTTGCAACCTCTGGTTTAGATAAGTGTGAACATCTTGTTATGAAAAAGCTGTCCAGATTTGGGCTTCCAAAAACAACAGTTTGCTTCATTTCTATATCTCTTAACCTTCATTTTTCACTTCTCAAGTTTGCATGGACATACGTGTTGAGCTGTTGATCTGAGTTTCTCCGGAACAGAAATGTCCCCCAGGAGCGGTAGTCTTTGCATGCTCCCGTCTTCCGCGTAGTGTGTGCACGTCAGTGACTGTTGGGGCATTTGAGCCAGCAGTGGACCCATGTGTGATCATGGTCCCATGATACTATGATGGGGTTGAAAACTTCTTGTTGCTTAGTGATAGCACAACTTTCAGAACGCTGGAGCAGGAGGCATGATCGACATGGGTAGGGTGATGCTGGTGCCAGTAAGTCCTACACGCCTGGTCACATAAAAGTACAGCTGCACAGTGCATAACACTTGATGGTTACTATAAAGGACCATGTTAAGAGCATACTCCTACCAATAAATATGATTACTTTAAGATACTATGTCATTTATTCCAGAGTCAATCTCATATCTTTTTTATGTTTGATTTAATATCACTTTTCATTTATCGTGGCCCTGTGAGCAATAAAAATTTTTATAATTATAGTGTTTTTTTTTTTACTCAGGGCGGGGGCACCACACAGCTCCCAAATAAATACACACGGAGGTTTATTCTTTCTTATAAATGCCCAGCCTTAGCTTGGCTAATTTCTAGCTAGCCTTTCTTAACTTATCCTGTCTACCTTTTGCCTCTGGGCTTTTACCTTTCTTTGTTTCTATGTATCTTTTCTTTCCTTCTTATTCTATGTCCGGTTATGTAGCTGCATCACTGGACCCTGGAGCCCTCTTTCTCTCTCTCCTAGATCTGGTGGCTTGATCTCCTTTTTCAGATTTCTCAGCCCCACCTATCCTTTCTCTTGCCTTGCTATTGGCCGTTCATCTCTTTATTAGGCCAATCAGGTATTTTAGATAGGCAGGGTAGCACAGCTTTACAGTTAAACAAATACAGCATGAAAGAATGCAACACATCTTTGCACCATTAAACAAATGTTCCACAGCATAAATGAATGTAACAAATCTCAAAATAATATTCCACAATATATGTGTGTTATATATGTGTATATATAAGGCATAATATAATATACATGTGTATGTGTGTATGTTATGCCTATTATATATATATATACATACCTAACACACAGACACATATATATATATATCATGTAGCCCAATAAACAGTAGTTTATACAATATAGGTGTTTGTGATTGCTTTCTGTTTAACAAATAAGCAAACCACTCAAGAACATTTCTTGGATTGCGTCTCCATCATTAAATGACTCTTGATTGTATTTTATGTGATTATGTATTATTCCTAATTAACTTTATAAATACATAAAGCCAAGATTAAAAACAACAGCTCTAATCAGTCGTGTGTGTGTGTGTGTGTGTGTGTGTGTGTGGCTTAGTTACTTTTCTATTGCTATGATGAGACACCATGACCAAGACAACTTACAGAAGAAATAGTTTACTGGGGCTTACAATTTCAGACAATCCAAAACCATCATGTCTGAGAGCATGGCATCAGGCAGGCAGGCATGGCACTAGAGCAGGAGCTGAGATGTTACATCTTGCAGCAGGCAGAGAAACACCACTGGGAATGGCTCAAGTCTTTTGAAACCTTAAGGTCTGCCCCCAGTGACACACATCCTCCAACAAGACCACAAGTCTTGATTCTTCCAAAACAGTTCTACCAACTGGGAACCAAGTATTCAAATATATGAGCCATTCTCATCCAAACCACCACAGAGTGTTTGTAAGTGTATGCAGATGTGTGAGATTGTTCCCGAATGCATCTGGAGGTATGTACATATGATTGCACATGCTTGTAGAGGCCAGAGGTCAACCTCAGGTGGTGTTGTTCCTCAGGGGCCATCTAACATGAGTATTTTTGGTTTTGTTGTTGCATTTCCAGCTTGGTTTTTTTGTTTGTTTGTTTTTAAGACAGGGTTTCCCTGTAGCTTTGGAGCCCTCCTCAAACTTCCTCTGCAGACCAGGCTGACCTTGAACTCACAGAGATCCGCCTGCCTTTGCCTCCTTGAGCGCTGGGATTAAAGACGTGCACCACCACCTCCCAGCAGGTTGTGGTTTATTTTGAGACCAGGTCTCTCACTGGTACCTTGGGCTCACCAGCCAGCTCTACAGATCCATCTTTCTCCCCTTCCCAGTGATGGGGTAACAAACTTGCATCACTACACACAGATCTGTATATGGGTGTTAGGAATCACACTCAGATCCTCATACTTGTATGCCAGACATTCTACCAACTAAACTATGTCCCCAGCTCCCACTAATCATATTGTATGGTCATTGGGTTTTTGTTTGTTTGTTTTTTGGGATAGAGTCTCACTGTGTCAATCTGGCTGGACCAGGCTGACCTAGCACTCATAGAGATCTGTTTGTCCCTGTCTCTCAAGCATTGAGATTAAGGGCATGCAGCACCACACCTGGCTCACTAATCATAATTTTTGATCATCATAATTCATCAGATGTTGGTAGTCTGCTTTACATGATGCTATGCTGGTTATGATGGAGACAGAAGAGGACAGAACATTGATAGGTAGAGAAGTAGCTACTTAGAAAATCTAGTGACCAAAAAAAAAAAAAAAAAAAAAAATTCAGTGAGAACTGCCTGGGTTTGTGGCTGTATAAATGCATAAAGTGTGTCTTTAGGAGCAACTGAAGGCAGCCAGGGGAGGGGCAAGGTTGAGGTGTGAGCTCTTTTGCATCCCAGCTGTACGGCCTTGGGCTGATTATATAAACCATACGAATTTCAGTTTCCTCATTTCAGACTGGGGATATAACAAGAACTACCTACGAAGGAGGTTGGGGATCAAGTAAGTTAGTCTGCATAAATCTGCTTCTCCCTGGGATGCAGTAAGCAACTGATAAATTGCAGCCCTTGTTGCAGAGGAGCAGTGTGTACAGCTTTTTCACAAGAAGCACAAACAGGCAGGGAAGACTAACCTGGAAGCCACAGAGTCACAGACACATCTAGAAACCCACAAACCTGATAAGGAGCGTTTGGGTGAGCATAAAAGCAGAAGTGATAGTGTCACAGGAGCATACAGTAAGGCAGCTGGCCAGCTGTTGTCCCTAGCAACAGCTGCTGGGTTGCCTCTGAAGCTCCACCTACCTACAGGCCTAGCTCCCCAGCGTCCACACTCCAGGCACTTAAATGTCAATTGTAACTGGGTAAAAAAAACCCGTGCTGCTTCCTTCCAGCCAGGGCATCTGAAGCCCAGACACCTAAACGTTCCCCCTATTATGCCCCCACTAATTCTGGACTTCTACCTTAAGCTCTGCCCCTTCGTCCTCTGGTCACTGGGTGTTGAATGCCAGTGTTCCCCTGATGCTATGCTTCCCTGAGCTCTAGCCTGTTCACATGGCTCAGATGCCTTGTTGGCCTTCCGTAGGCATCTGTATCCTACTGCTCGCACCCTACTGTGTTCTTCCCTGGGATCCATCGCAGGTGTCACACCCTCCCAGGCAACCCACTAGAATAAGGCTGATCTGCTTCTTAGTAACAGCTTCCTGAGTTTTACCTTGATGAGGGACAACAGGACTTTCCCAGCCTGGCTTTCCTATTCCAGGCCTCTGTATTTGCAACCCATGCCATATGGAGGGAGTACCCCCATGCCAGGGTTGGTTCCTGTCCTTTCTCCACTGGCTGTGTATTATCAGCAATTTCTAGCATGACTTGTGAGCATTTGGTAGCAACATCAATAAAGTTTTCCCAATACAGATGACCCAATTAGTGGCACAGGGGCACAACATCGGGGTAAGAGCAAACTTCAATTTATTTAGAATCAACTGACAATATCATCATTCTGCTGAAAAGCAGGCATTAAATAAAGTTGGCACAACTTGGGTTGAAACTAATTCCTTATTGAAGAGGTGCTATTCTATGCTTAAGTCTAACCGGACAAGACAAATGTGTTGGTGAATGAAGCAGAAGCGACAAACTGCTAGTGCTGCACTCCTGAAGTGGAAAAGACCAGAGAAGGCAGCTCTGCCCTCACGCAACTGGCCGGGACAAGATTAAGAGAGCATGTGCAGGAGAACCCCTGGCCAGCCAAGAACTAGGAAAGAACGTTCTAGAGGAGCAAAATGTCTGGAGAAGTGCATTTCCATACAACTAATAATTTCAGGTTAATGAAAATGGAATAGTTAAAAGAAAAAAAGATCAGGGTCGTTGCTTGTTCAAGTAGCAGTCCTGATCAGCCCCTAGTTTTAAAGGGTGTGTGCGAAAGGCAGGAAAGGGGATAAGTGACAAGTTTGCTTTGTGTGAAACAGCCTGCATCCTACGACCTCAGATGGGTGTGAGGGACACAGCTCAGTCGGCAGGGTGTTTGCCTAGCCAGCACGAGACCCGGGTTCACACCGAGTCTGGTGATGCATGTCTGTCACCCCAGCTCTCTGGGGGGTGCAGATAGGGAGGATCAGAAGTTTAAGACCAGACTGAGATACATGTGACCCTGTAAAGGAAGAACCTCCAAATAATCCCAATCCGCTCAGTCGATGCCTGAAACTGTGGAGATTCAGAAACCTTGTGTGTACTGTGGTTATTTCTTATGCATATCTATGATAAGTTTAACTTATAAA